TCCTCCTCCTTCTTCCTCCTCCTCTTCCTTTTCCTCCTTCTCCTCCTCCTGTTCCTCTTCCTCCTCCTCCTGCTAATCCTCCTCCTCTTCTTCCTTCTCCTTTTCCTCCTCCTCCTTTTCTTCTTCCTTCTCCTCTTCCTTCTCCTCCTTTTCCTCCTCCTCCTTCTCCTCTTCCTCCTCCTCCTCCTCCTCCTGCTTTTCCTCCTCCTCTCTCCTCCTCCCTCCCCCTCCTCTCTACAGATCCCAGTTCTTTGTGGCACTGATGACACGACTTAATTGGGTCACAAAACGTCTGCAAGGAAAGCCATCGAGCTCAAAGAGATGCAAGGATTACACAATTTGGAGACCGTTAGAAAAGTTCATTGCGATGATGATGCACTAACAATATTTTTCAAAGTTCAGCCACTTGAAGATGTGCGGACTTCAACTCCAGAATCCCCCCAGCCAGTGTGCATTATGGGAGTTGAAGTCCACATCATCTTCCAGTGGCTGAAAGATACAGCTCTAAATTCTTTCCCCCTTTCGAAAACCGCGTCTAATAATAATAATAATAATAATATGGTAATAAGAATAATAATAATAATAACTAACAACCAATGATACCCCATCACAAATTTTTGGAAGCCTGTCCCTCCTCCTTCCCAGTCATTTACACCAGGTTTACATCAACGTATCCAATCTACGCTGAGCTTCTCTTTCATCTAGAGCAGGTTTTGTTCTTATTGTGTCCAAGTCAGTTTCACCTGCAGAGAATCTCCAAATTGGCGTGAGAAAAAAATAAAATAATAATCTGGAAAAAAACGAAAATGCAGGTACTCCTCAACATATGACCACCATCTCTGTTGCTAAGCGAGACACATGGTGTCCCAATTTATCACTTTCCTTGTCCCCCGTTATGCCAGATTTACTTAACGGCCATGTGACTCACTTAACAACTGCCAGGGATTCAGTTCAAAACCGAGGCCGAAAGGTTGTGATGTGGAATAGCCTTCCTGTTGCCTCCCTTTGTGACAGAAATAGTCTCCATGTGGTCATAAGTCCGAGGACCCCCTGCGATCTTCGCCGTTGCTCAAGCAGCCCGTTGGCGACCGCGACAGGACGTTGTTTTGCCATTCTGATGATATGAAAACTCCTAACTTTATCTCCATTTTAGGCCAAAATAGAGAAAAAGCTCGCCACGGCTACCCGAAACTCCGAACCCAGCATATCCAAAACCGCTCCCAATACATCCACTCTTTCTAAAGAGGGGCTTGCAAAGTCACCCAACGGGAAAGTGAGTCCTGTTTTCGACTTCCGATGCTCTGGGAGAGGAGAGAGCACGCCTCCCCTCCTGGATTTTCTTCTCCCGGTAGTCCTCGGCTTACGACTGTTCCCTGAATGACCACCCGAAAGTTCCAGCAGCGCCGAATTAAAAAGAGTCACTTGCCATTGTTTTTTTTTTTTTTTAATCTCCCTGGTCACCTGTTTCAAATTGCGACGCCAGGCAACTGGCGTGTACTGCTGACGGTTTGCAGCATCCCGGGAATGGCGACATCCTGAGGGGCTTCACGTGATCCCCTCGCGGCCTTCCAACCAGCAACATCCGTCGGGAAGCCCAATTCCCTTAACGACCGTGCGACTCATTTCATAACGGTTGGTTTAGCGCCGATGGCAAGAGAGGCCGTCGAGCGGGTGGGACCAAAAACCCCTCAGCCGGCCTCTCACTTAGTGACGGGAATTGTGGTCATAAGTCGAGGACCACCTGTATTTTTTTTTTCTTCATGTTTTTTTCTTCTTCTTACTCTCCTGTTTGGGTCACTTTTTCTTCCTCTCTGACTTGAGTTCACCTCGGGGGCTTTTCCGGGGGGACTTTCTGCTCCTGCACGACGCTTTTCAGAGGGGGCAGCATTGCCGGGAAGCATGGGGCTTGGAGTAGAGGTCTTGTGGTCAACTAGGGAAGGAGTGGAGGGGCTGGGGGTCTCATCCAGACAAAAAGAGGAAAGAGATTTTTGTCCTTCTGGACAAAGCGCCCTTTAAGATGTTCCCACTTAGCTCCCGATGTAATCGTCACGCTTGTTCGTCACATCACTTATTAAGTGCGAAAATAATAATAATAATAATAATAATCCGGTTATGAGTTGAGGGTCTTTCAGTCTCGGCCTGCAGGAAGATGGTGGGAGGGGGGACTACAACTCCCAGATTTCCCCAGGCAGAATGTCCAGGACTTAAATCAACGAGCATCACACAAGGTCTCGATGCCTGTTGGTTACTCAAGGGAGCCGAGAAGACATTCGACAACGCAGGAGCGGCAGATGTGAGTTAGTCCTTTAAAAGGAAAGATTATAGATATATAGATTTCGAGGAGGTGACCAGCTTCAGAAATCTGCCCAGACCCCTTTAGCGGGAGAGTCGATTCCTTCGACAAGGATTTCTCAAGGATCCCCTCCCTTGCGGGGGGGGGGGAAGGGGGGAGGGGAAAGGCCCTTTACAGAGATCCAGAGCCCTTTTGAGGAGGGGGAGGGCACCTGGAGTGAGCTGCTTTGCAGAACGTGCTGCTTTTAACCGGTCCTCTTCTTCCTTTCCTTCCCTGAGTCCATGGCTCCTTATTCTTCTCCTCCTTCCTTTGTCTTCTCTTTCTCTTCTTCCTCCTCCACCTTTCCTTTGCTGCATCGGTGGCTCCGTTTTTTTCTTCTTTTCTTCCCTCCTCCTCTTTTCCCACTTTTCCCGTTTTTCCCCCTTCCTTCCTGTCTCCTTTTCCTTCTCTCCTTCCCCTGTCTCCTCCTCCTCCTCTTCCCCGTCCACGGTTGGTCCTTCCTAACCCTCGGAGTCATTTGGATGGCGTGGCTAACACTCGCTTGCACTCTTGTCTTCTTGTGCGTCTGTCCTTCCACCTGGCGTGTGGCTCCCAGAGAGACAGAGACACAGAGAGACACAGAGAGAAACAGAGACAGAGAGGGAGAAAGAGAGAGGGAAGGGGGAAGTGAGAGAAAGAGAGAGAGACACAGATAGACACACAGAGAGAGAAATAGAGACAGAGAGGGAGAAAGAGAGAGGGAAGGAGGGAGGGACAGAAAGAGAGACAGAAAAAAGAGAGAAAGAAAAACAGGGAGAGAAGGAGAGGGGAAGAGAAACAGAGACAGACAGACTCAGAAAGAGAGAGAAAAGAGAGAGAGAGAGAAACAGGGAGAGAAGGAGAGGGGAAGAGAAAGAAATGGAGAGCAAGGGAGAGAGAGAGAGGGAAGGAGAGAGACAGAAAAAGAGAAAGGGAAGGAGAGAGAGAGAGTCAGAAAGGGGAGACAGAAATAGAAAGAGAGAGAGAAAGAAAGAAAGAGAGAGAGAGAGAGAGAGAAACCTAACCAGTCCTTTTCCCTTTGTGTCCTTCTCTCCATCTCTGTTGACATTCCAGGTCCAGATACTCTCCAAAAAAGCGAACTACAGCCACATCCAGTCCAAATGTGGATCCAAGGACAATATTAAGCATGTCCCTGGAGGTGGAAATGTAAGTACACCAGAACCTGAGAGCCGTTGTTGTCGTCTTCTTCCTCCTAACTAACTCTTCTTCTTCTTCTTCTTCTTCCTCCTCCTCCTCCTTTTCTTCCGTGTGCTCATATTCGACTCTGGAGTTGTCCTACCTGTGTGTGTATATCTCTGTGTGTGCGTGTTTCTTGGGGGGGTGGGTGGGAGGTGGACCTTGGGGGAAGGACTGACGTCTGGATTTGGGAAGGTCCAAGCTGAAAACTTAGGGTTGTTTTTTTTTTTTTTCTTTAAAGAAAGGAGCGAGGCTGCCTGGGAATTGGGTGAAAAAGCAGGTTGGAAAAGAGAGAGGCGGAAAAGGGCGAAGGTGGGATTCAAATAGTTTTAAACAAGCGGTTCTCTGCCCACATGAGTTCTTCCAACAACCAGTTCACCAAACTGCTCAGAAAGTTAACAACCGGTTCTCTCAAAGTGGCGCTAACCGGCTGAATCCCACCACTGGATAAGGAAGATGAAGGATAGAGAGATGGATGGATGATAAGATGATAGGCATGTAGGTGACAGGCATGTAGGTAGGTAGAGAGGTGTGTGTGTGTGTGAGAGAGAGAGAGAGAGAGAGATTGAACAGATAGATATGGATGGATGGATAGAAGGTAGATAGATATAATTAGACAGATTAGATGGATAGATAGATAACAGGTATAGATAGATGGTAGATAGATAGGGATGGATGGATAGAAGGTAGATAGATGGACGTAGGGTGGATAGTTGGATAGGTAGACAGACAGACAGATAATAGGGATAGGTAGGACGAGAGAGATAATAGATAGGTATAGATGATAGAGAGAGAGAGAGAGATAATGGAGGGAGGGAGGGAGGGAGGGGGTGGTGGATGCAGGGATGGTAGATGATAGATGGATAGAGAGTGATGGATGTATAGATATATAGATAGATATTGTATTAAATAAATACAGGCAGTAAGATAAAATGTACGGCTGGTGATAGAATGGATAGAGGGATGGATGAGTAGATGACAGACGATGAACGGATAGAGCTAGGGTTGGATGATAAATAGATAAATGATAGAGGGATGGATGAATCGATAGATTATATCTATCTATTTATCTATCTATCTATTTATCTATCTCACTTCTGCACTACCCATCTGGCCCGAAGTGTCCTCTGAGAAGTTTCCAGTAAGACAGAGAAAGACGAAGGTGGGAAAGCGGTTGTTGGAAAACCGTGAACTTACCCCGGAAAAGAGGAAAGTCTACCAAAGAACATCAAGACAGCTCCTGGCTTGATTCTCTTTAGCGTAGTCGGGAAGGAGTTAGTAGGTTTCCCGCCAAGCCAGGCTTTCCAAATTCTGACTTTCACCTAAATCCGTGTGAAACTTGGTCCCATTGAAGATGTGTGGAAGTTGACGGCTGGGAACTTCTGGGAGTTAAAAGTCCACCCATCTTCAAGTGACCTCGTTCAAGGTTCGGCGACCTCTGCCTTCACATTTGGTAGATCACCCAAGGTCCCTCCTTCCTCGGAAACCACGAGGCCTGGAATTTCCACTTTTGACCACCATTCCAGGGGTTGTCGGCTGCTCCCAAACGGGGTCTGTCTAAATGGCTGCTTCTTTGTACTCTTGACAAATTCTGTTCTCCTTTCTCTTCTTTCTGTCTATCTCGAGGACGTCTTCCTCCCCCCTCCGAAAAATCATAAATCATAATTGCCGAGCAGAAATCATAACCCTCATCCAAATCAATTCCAGATTGACGCGCAAAAGCAATTTTCTTGCTTTGAATTGTCTCACTCTAGATCTGTCCTCCTCCAGGAAGCTCCTTTGGTCTTCTTTTTTTTTCTTCTCCTCCTCCTGCTGTCCTTCCTTCCTTCTCCGTCGTCCGCCAATCAGTCTGTCCACCTGCTCAGCTCACAGAGTAAAGTACCTATTGTTTTCAGGTCCAAAATGTCCCCAAGCCAGCTTCAGGCAACAAATCCCAGCCATCGACCAACCCCAAGCCCAGCCCGGGCAGTACCAATGTGAGTAGAACCACTAGACTTGGCCAAGTGATTTTGTTTTGATGTTATGGAGTTTCCACCTTTGTCCGGTGTCATAGGACGTTCTTGGCCAAGTGACTTTTGGTGTTATGGAGTTTCCACCTTTGTCCGGTGTCATAGGACATTCTTGGCCAAGTGACTTTTGGTGTTATGGAGGTTCTACCTTCTCCCAATGTCATAGGACATCCTTGGCCAAGTGACTTTTGGTGTT